CAAATCCTGCGAGGAATTCAAGTTGTTAGATAGTGAATACAAAAAAGTCACACAAGTAGCCTTAGGTTTAAAGGCTTGCATGAAGTCAATAGGTAAGTATCCTTCCCACAACTGAAGTTTAGTTGGCTCAACCTGTCCTAAAATAGTAACCGGTTCTAAGAATCTCATATCACGGATCTTTGTCGAAGGTTTTATTTTATTACGGCAACTGATTTGCCACCAAAACATCCCGAGAGTCAAATCTCAACGAGCGTAGCTTCGAGTATCAACCAACTTTGGACTGCACCAAAGACAACTATCTCACTATCTTCTAATTTCCAAGATGGGTCAATCAAGGTTCTAAAAGTAAGTTAGTGTTAATAACACCACGCGGAAGCCTAATGTTATCCTTGACTGACTCAAGGAACATCAGTACAAACTAAAGTGTCATACTAACTATAGTCATCATATTAACCATATTGGTCTACGTCGTACTGTCTTTATGATCTATTGCAACTTACCTAAGGCATCCCTAGATCCAGGTGAAGGACCTTTCAAATAATAAACCCAAGCAAACCCTTAAAATTAATATAGACAAAGCACACAATTTAAGCAAGTAGAGTGATCTAAACTCTTAAGGTAACCCCTCTTTTAAAATTAGACCCGACAGAGTCGCTAGTTATGTTATATGGTGGGAGAACTAACTTGTTTAGCGTTTTATCGCAAATGTTGAAGATAGCAAGAGTTGCCACCAACTTTTCTTTTATCCAATGAGGAAAGATGAAAAGAACAGGAAAAACCTTTGATAGATTTTGAGTTCGGGAAGGTGTTAGCACCCTTTTCATCCGTAGTTATCTACGGGCTCTTAATTGCTTAGCTCACTTTAAATTTGTTTTGTGTATGTGTGATTTGAAAATATTTTAAATGCCAATTGTGAGGCAGACTTTATAATAGTTCTTGTATCAGTCCTCAAGAATGTATACAAAGTGTTTTTTTAAAATATTTGTTTTGAAACGCGAGGTGTAAAAATGAATTTGTTTGTTTGAAACTGTTATGAGCAAGAAATTTGTTAAGTCTTACCCACTAAAGGTCGTTTTTGTTATTTTCCTTCTCCGTTAGAGATAGTACTATCCACACCATTAGTTGGTAGGTAGCCCTATCTATTGGATATGAAGGGACATGCGTAGGATCGTCATATGGTCATAGAAGGAAACATGTAAGGATACTTTAGAAATTTGAAGGGACTATCATCATTTTTCTCGTAGGATCATCGAAGGGACTAGATCATTTTATAGGAAACTCGAAGGGTCATCGAGGAATTACGGTTTTTATTCGAAAGGGACCATGATGGTATTGTTTAACCGAGGGTCTTTGCTAAAGTATTCCCTTTTTCATGGGACATGACCATTAGTATCGCAAGGCAACAAAGAGAGGTTGCTCTAGAGGTAAAGTATGCAAATTGTATTGGTTTCAGTTATGTTATCTTGAAAATTAAAGTTATCTATGTTTGATTTTATTCTTATCATACAAGCCTATTTACTAGTAGTTAAATATATACAGACATATAAAATATAAGTGCGAGAAAATAAAGTGCAGAAGATAAAAACCTAACACTATTACATAGCCTCGGGAGAGTTACACAATAATTAAAACCTTGCGAAAATTAAAATCTAACTATTACAAATTTCAACGCGGAACCTATACAATCGTCTAAATAATAAAATGAAAGAAATAATAAAAAATGGAAAATAAATGTTAAGAAATTATTTTTTACAAAACTAAATGTCTAAGATGTCACATTTTTTATTTGTATTTTAGATTAATTTTAAGCATTTAGAAAATAATTAGTTATCTAATTCTAAATTAATTACAAAAGTTAATTAATTAAAAAAAACTAAGTCTAATGAAATTGAATTAAAAATATGTTCAAAATTAGATTAATTAATAAAAACCCTAAGAATATTTTTTTGATTTTTTTATAGATTAAAACGATTAGTAGAAAATTAAATAAGAAAATAAGTAAAAATAATGGAAAGTGGAAAAAAAAATTAGAAAACTAATAAAAGATGGTTGCAAGCGCTCAAGCTCGAACCACGCCCTCTCCTTTGCCAAGCAAGAACACTACCACCGCACCATGAAATAAATAGAATTTTATGCCCTAACAATGACATCTCGTATTTCTCATGTTAAAACTTGCATGTAAGGCTTCAAACTTGTTCTAAATAATCATGCTAAGTGATCTGAATTGTTAAAATCAGTTAACAATGTGTATAACTTGTAATGCGAATAATAAAAAATAATGCAAAATGGATATGGCACGTATGCAAGTTTTAGGTACAAATAGATATGGAAAGTTACCTATTCTTACCTTGGAGATGTTCTGGAAGTGATTTGAGGTGGTGGTTTAGACTGAATCAAACTGGAACTTGAGATTCAATGGTGCACTTTTTTTGAAAATTTGTGATTTTTGAGACTTTTCTTGAGGCAAATTTTTCTTGTCACTGTAGTGTGAGGGCTTTAGTATTTATAGAGGAGGCGATTTAAGTCACCAAAGAAGGAAATAATCAAGTGATCATGGTGTTACCAAAAATCAATGAAACATATTTTCTAACTTGTCGTTTTTGAAGTTCCTTGTCTCAAACATGTCTCTCACGGTTTTGGTAAGCTTTAATGAGGTCTTGGGCCTTCTAGAAGATGTCCAAATGATCATAGTCAAACATTAATCCTACTATTTGTTATTTTTAATTTAATTCTTTTACAAAAATTAAATAAAAATTTAAATAAATAGGATAAAAAAATATGACCATGTACCAATGGATTTAGAGGTCTTCTATCACGTCATAAACATGTTTGATCCTCAAAAGTTAGGTTCATTAGTCCAAAAATTCAAAATTTCTCAATTGAGGTTTCATGCATTTCTAAAAAATTGTCAAACTTGTGTCAACCGTAACTCTCACAATTTTTGGTATATGAAGGTGATCTTTGACTTTTTGGAAACCTCAAGATGTCTCATACAAACTTTATGTTGGTCATTTTTTCATTTGAAGTCTTTAACATTTTGTAAATTGCTTTGACAAAAATGTCTTTTTGTTGACTTTCAAAATGACCTGTAATATTTTGGCTCATATCTCTCAAACGAAACATTTTTTAACTTGATCTTTGAGAGACAAAGTTGTAGATAATTGTATTTCCTTAAAGATAAGCTTGGTTGAGAATTTTGTGATGAAGTATGTGAAAGTTATGCTTGGTCAAAGTTCACTTGACTTCTCCTTAAGAAAATCCTAATCTGGTAACTTTTATCTTTTGATGAATCTTGAGTTTTCTTGATGAATCATGATCAATCCTTGATCAAATGATGAATGTGACTTCAAAATATTGATGTTGACCAAAAATCTTGAAGTTTGACTGTAAGTTGACCAATATTGACTTTTTATCCAATATAGTTGATTTCAATCATCTGAGCAATTGTCTGGACAAATTTGTGATGTAAGGCTTGAAACTTGACATGAAGATTATTTGAAGCATATGAGGAACCATGAAAACCACTTGAGGCCTTAAAAGATCAATTTTCCTTGAGAAAAACAAACCCCTAGTTGTAGTTCAATTACTTAGGAAGAGAGTCCATTTGATCAATCCTTGATAAGTCTTGAGTGTTTGGGATCTTTAGGAGCATGAAGAGGTATTTTGAATCAATTTGTCTTGAAAAATGAGAAGGAAAATTTTGAGGTACAACATGTTTAATTTACATAAACTATAATGTTAAGTTAACCTCAACAAACAGTTATTTCTACCCATAATCATCTTAATAATATCTATAATAATCTACTCAATATGAATCATATTATAATAATAATACAAATGTGATTAAGTGGGGAAATAGTCCCACATTTGATAGGAATATGGAGACTTGAGCTTATATAAGTGAAAGAATTCACTCATCTATCACTTTAAGGTTTTATGTGGATAAGTGGTGTGTCTCTCACAAAGGTTCATACTCCTCAACTTTATATCAATATCCCTAGTGAACTCCCTCTAATAAATGGTATAAAGAGCCTTTGGTTTCGAGAAAGGGACCAGATTACTTGTATAGAAATGCCCAATAAAAGGTTCACACTTGAGAGAGAGTGTAGTGTGGAGACTTGAACATATATAAGTGAAATTTCAATGGTACCTAGTACTTACATGTACAATCCTATGTTTAAAAGCTAAATTTATTCTAATTACAAGTATAAATTTGACCTATTACACATTGCTTGATTTATATAAATTTGGCATCACTAATTATTCAACTAATTATCTATTACTTATCACGTTTCTGTTGCAACTGGCAGACGAATATGAACAGGCAGTCGAAATATTGAATTCTTGGAACGATAAACTCACTATTTACAACCCAAAAAATCATTTTCCAAAATGTAACAATTTGATTTTCGGCAAAACGATATCAATATGGTTTCATACATTTCAAACCCTACATTTATTCTTCGTCCAAGTTTCAGTTTGCCGAAGTACTCTGATTGTCACCCTAGCATTCTCTGAATTGAATTAGAATTTTATGAATTGAATTTGATTATGCAGGATTTTCATCCGACTGCGCTTGGTGGAAGCACGAGACTGGTTTTTTGCTTTTCTCCTTCTTCACCCTTATTGCCTTAATTATAATCATCATTTACCAGGTTATACTCAACTTCAATTGCCCCATTATATAAGCTTTTTTCAATTCAATTGTGATTATGTGTTATATGTTAATCTAAATTAGGGTTCTCTAGGCTTTACCTTGGTGTTCTAATTCTAAATTAGGGTTATTCGCAATATCGCCAAAATGTGTTTTTTGTGATTTGTAGTTTTCTCTAGGACTGTGTAAAGAACTTGGTTGTGTTTGAGTTCTCCATATGCTGACTTTTTGTTTTCTTTTACATTTCTTACAGTTAATGGGCCTAGCAGATCTTGAATTCGATTATATAAATCCTTATGATTCCACATCTCGGATAAACTGAGTTTTGTATTCTGAGTATATTATATTAGGTGTTCTCTTCTGCTTCTACATTGTAACATGACACTGGATAATGACACTGTTTTGCGCTCCTTATATCTACTACAATGTGAAATTGTAAGTTTTTAATATGATATATGAATAAGCTTTGCAAGATTATTATCAATGAAATATCTAATAAAAAATAGTCATTGTTTGTTATCTGATTTTTTACTGAGCTGTTTGAGTTAGAAATTTGGGTCTTTATTGTAGTAGTGTACAATTGCAACTTCCCAGTAAAGGGTAACTCTCTCATTGCACATGAGATAAAGTAGTTTGTTTGATTTGATTGCTATAATGTATGTTGGCTTATGCTTCATGAGAAAGTAGTTTGGTTAACTAGCACGTATTTTTTGGATTATAGGACAAGGGAGCTCAAAATGTTGGGCAACGTCAGATTTACCAACAGGTTGTTTCACGTGCTATGGATTGTTGTTTTTGATTATTGATCAAGTTACAGCTTTTGAGATGGTCAAAAGATTGTTGTTTTTGATTATTGATCAAGTTGCAGCTTTTGAGATGGTGAAAAGATTGTTGTTTTACTGTTGCACACCAAGTGTTCGATGAAATGCCCCAGCTGAATTTCTTATTCTTCTTTCATTTGGTAATGTGATCTCAAAAGTTCAATTCCTCTATCATCCATTCACTGAAATATTCTATTTTGAACTTTTAAAAATAAGAAAAGCATATAACAAATTATGTGTCAAATTGCTTATACCATTCATTAGAAGAGTGTGAATTTAGATAATTTTAGGGAAGTTTGTTGTAAAACTCATGTGAGATTGGAGAGGTGAGATTTGTGGATTACATTATTGTGAATTTGTTGTAAATCTGTGATTTTATGGGATTGGGAGTGAGGAAAATCGTGTATTTTTATGCAAAGCTGTAAATTTGTAATAACTCAGTGAATGTAAATTGAAATTGAAAATAATTCTGCTTTGAATTTTGGTTTAGTTTTGCATTAATTTTGGTTTTGTTTCAACTTCTTTTCGAATTGGAGAATGTACAAACCGTGTATATGTTTTGTGTCACGATGTGCAAGATTTTTCCATGTGATTCGTGTATGTATGTCATAAAATATTGACTGAATGATGTAATAAAATCATGTGATTCTTTTCCAGTTCTTTTCATTTCACTTTATTTTGAATTTGTTTGAATTTTGGATGATTGTGTATGACATAAGGTATGGAAATGAATGAATGAATGAATGTAATTCTTATGCAAACTTTGACTCATGTGCTTATTCATGATGATGGTGTATGTGGTGAATTTCCATTTAACTTGAATTTCTCATGGTTGACAGGCAGCTTGAACAGTTTGTGTGGGGAGAGCCAAATGCTTGTTGGGTCTTGAACTTATTCAAACTGTTAACTTTATTGACATAAGCACTCCATACAGGAATTAGATGTGAGATTGTCAATTGTGGTTGGCCAAACGGCAAGCCAAAACAGGGTCGGTTGCAAGAAGCTGCTGAAAACATTTCCAGTTTTCATTTTCCAAGATTCATGTTCATTTTATATTTTGTTAGTAATGAGATGAAAGACTCATGTAGTGAACAATTCTGATAGTGTTTTTCTATTTTTTATTTATTTTTTAAATTCTAGATCTTTATTCTCTTATGTTTATTAGTTGAAGTAAAAATGAAAACAAGAAAGTAAACGGGATGTTAGATGTATGTGTTAAGAACTTCTTGCAATTGTTTCAATGGGTGCATCTAAAACTTCAGCAGAATAATATTGATCCCTCTTTTCCGTGTTATGTATTCTTCTTTCCAAGGTTTAAGAATAGCAGAAACAAGAAACTATCTTTAGTTGCTAATTTCACTAATTTCTCATGGTTTTGACAGGTAGCATGGTGGTCTTATCCTTGATTAAATGGAGTTATTCCCAATTATGGTTTGATGTTATAGGTGTTGTCTAAATCTTAGTTTTTGTTTCATAGTGTCGTATAAAATTTTTGTTGTTGCAATATGTAGTTATTTGACACTGTTAATTTCATTTTGTTCTCTTAAGTATTATATATGGTACCTTTCATGACTATGTTTTTAAGTGTTCCTCTTAACTCATTTTATATTGGTTTTATTTATAAAGTGTATTGTTGATCCTTAACATTTGTATCTAATAAAAGATAACACTTTGAATGTGTTTATAAAAATTTGATACAATTTCTTTTTAATCTTCATATTGAATTTGCACTTTATTAAATTTTTACGAGATATTGTCATATATTTTATATGTGTAAAATTTGTAAATATAATCTAATAAGAAAGTTTTAAAATTGAAATTTAACAATGAAATGTAGGTTGTAAAATAATGTAAATATGATACAATAAGAAAATTTTAAAATTGATGGTGAGCTGTCTCTCACAAAAATATATAGTGTTACACTGTATCAATGCTCGTCCAATTCTTATCTAATATGAGACTATTTCTCCACTTAATCATATTTACATTATTATTTTTACATATCATAATCAACATTAACCCAACGTCAAACCAAAAAGTTACTTAGGTCATTTGACTAACTAAAAACTTGATTTATTTTCAAACCAAAAAATTACTTGGATCATTTGACTAACTAAAAACTTGATTTATTTTCAAAACAAATGGATCACCTTTTCTCACATATATGAAGAAATTTGCGGGACACACAAAATAGAGCTAATCATGCTTTCTCTTTATCTCATTTTGTTTGATAGTGCTTTTGCATTTCTTTTTAGTTTGTTTTTAGTTGACAAAACTTTTTTCTTTCTTTTGATGAAATCGTTAGAAAGAAATATTTTATTTATATGAAAAGTTCATTGGACACTAATAAATCCGAAAATTTTATATAAGGTGTAACTCAAGTGACAATACTCATAATGTTATAGTAGATATTTTTTCTGACTTCTATTTTATGTATGCGTGAGTTTCACTTTATTTATTGATTAAAAAATTTGAATAGACACGGCTGCAAACGTCACAATATCATCATCAGTATTATTAGAAATAATGAATAAGTTAGATTCGATATAATAATGAACCAAATCATGCACATGTATGTTAAAAAAAGCAAAAAAAGAAATAAAGAAAATAAAATTGGAAAGCTACATTGAACATGCTGCTACTACGCCACTTTAACACGCACCGTCCATGAAGTAAGTGGGAAAGATTTGATTCACTTTTAAATAATTGAATCACCTTTCGTGGAATTGGTTGGGGCCAGGCGACTCAGGCTAACAGCTAGCTACAAGAACAAACCAAGCCGGTTGCCAATCACAAAATTTGTAATATAGTAAATTAGAGATCATAAATTAATGATCCAAATTAACTATACTTCTTAGAGAAAAAAACTGGATTTGCTTCTACACGTGATTTTACATGGCACTTAAAAAATATATCCTTTTTTATTTATGAAAATTGTTGTTGAATATTGTATAGATTTTAAATAGCACTTAAAAATATATATAAATTTTTTTAATGAAAAATGTTATCGAATATTGTATTGGTAAATTTTGTAAAAGATTCACAAGAAGCGACATAAAAGAGAACGACTTAACATGTTGTCCACAACATTTTTCTGATCACCCGTTTACTAGATGAAATGTTTGTCATTTGAATGTGACACACATTTCTCAAATACGTCGATTATTTCTTGGACGACTCGCCTAGTGTGTAGGAACGGAGAAATGACATGATCGAGTCCACAATGGTGCAATGAAGAAGTCATATGGAAATTGATCACGTTCTCCTGAATAATAGGGGATTAATTTTTTATTTTTCACGCTCTCAAAAATGGCTGCTACTTCCTAGGAATCTAAGGTCCGGGCTCAGGGACTTCTATAAATACCTCAACTATGAGGTTGAGAGATGACATTCTAATTACACAAATACCATATGCAGAGCTTCTCACCTCCCTACATGAGCTAGCTCTAACCTCACAACAAACCACTAAAACCTCTGACAGCCCATAATCACTAAGGCTTGTCACACATTGTATGTTTAGTAAGTACAATTGGCGTCCACTATGGGCTCCCGAGAAAACTAACTTAGGCCACCATCACAAAATTTAGCTAGAATGTTGTCCTCGCATTGAACTCCTCCTATGGATCTACGTTCTTGCAGGTATAGTCAAAAAGTGATCCAAGACGGTGAAGCTTATGAATAACAAAGATGCAAGTCAAATAGTAGTTGCTTAGTTTTGATGACGACAACATTTAAAGTTAAGCAACGGTTGAAGATAGATCAAGCGGTCAAAGATACACAACATGGTTAATCAAGTTATACACAAGATGGTTGATTAAGCTATCCTCCTGAATCAAGCCAAAGACATCTTTTAAAATTGACATTGTAGTTCAACGACTTTCAAGTGAAAACTTAGGTTTCAAGGATCATCGCAAGTTTAACCTTTCAAACTCTTAGATGATAGTATCCAACATGAAGATATATCAAGCCTCATCAAGAAGAATCAAGGTTATTGTATGATGCTAAAATTAAATATAATGATGTCAAGACTTGAAGCTTCAGAGTGTGAAAGAGAGAAAGTGTGAAAGTTCGCCTAGTCGTGTCCGTCTTAGTTACTAGTGTCTTGTAAAGACACAAGGGAATTTATAGAAATATTACGGTTGTTCTTGAAGAACAATATTGATAACTTCCCCGAAGTTGGCTGGGAGAAGTCACACTGAGATAATTATTTTTTGTTAGATAATTGATTGCCTCTCTCATTTTGAGGTTCACCATTTATAGTGTCTATTATCAACTGAGTGATAACGTCGCATTTACGGCCATAATGATTATGGTTTCCATGTCTTATAGGGAGCCATATGTTAGACTTGAGACTTCATACACAAGAGGGGGAATTATGGGGTTTGGAAAAACATGGTTTTGAAAATTTTTCGAGATTAAAATCAGAGTTTGAAAACATTTTTTTATATCTAAGAAGCAGAGCATAAATATATAAAACGCGAAAAATAAAAGAGTTAAGGGAAGAAGAAAAACACCGAGAGTTATAGAGATTCAGTCATAATAATAGCGACATACTCCTCTCCTCAAGAACTGATCTTGAGAGTTTCCAATATATACTTGAGAGTTTTTAGTAGGTAAAACTCACGAACCCTCTTATACAAGGAAATGGTGATTGTCCTACAACTAAAATATCACAATATGGAAGACATGATCGTTTGCGTCTTCTCCATAGAAATTACTGAGATATAACATGAGAACCTCATTCACAAAATGTCTTTCCTCACAAAATTATTTGGCTATAAGAACTAGTGAG